AAAAAGAGAGAGAATAGATTCCATAAGGACCTTCTTCGTCACACTACCATTTAGTAATATAAATTCTGGGGAAAAGCACTAGTTACTTCGCAGGTAGGCAATGATCCGAGCGGCAATGTCCTCTATAGAGCCTGAGTAGGTTCCAGGGATTCCTGGATGGCCAGGTGGACCTGGAGGTCCAGGGTTTACGGCAGACTGTCTGATTCTATCTGTAATGGATCAAATTAAAAATGTTAATATTCTGTGTCTGTCCCCCTGACAGCCTGTGATCTTGTGACATTGCCTCAGAACAACACTTACTTAGTATTCAGAAGATGTATAGGCCGCATCGTGCACTAGATAACAAAAGAGCCTGGCTGGCCTGGAGGCTAGGATGGGCCTGCGGGACCAGTGGAGGGGACCTGGATAGTGACAGTGAGAGTGGGGAGGAAGTGAGTAGTGGAGGAAGGCTGAAGGGAGAACATAGGGAAACGGATTAAAGGCCCACTGTGAGCTGATTGTTTAAAGAGTGAGTGTGGGAGCAATAATGATGTTGTTTCTCTACCTCTTGAAGAGCGCAGAAATACCAGGAGCTCCGGTGTCCCCTTAGAAATGATAAACAACAAACAAAAAGCATTTTTTAGGGTGCAGTTTTTTGGATACAAGTATTTGCTGTGAAATACAGACAATTAAACATCTGAAAACATCTGCAGATTTGCCAGTGTGATGTAAGGTTTACCTTTGAATTCTTGTGGTCCTGGACTCGGGTGGCCCTGGTCGGACCTGGTGGAACCAGGGATTCCGCGTGTCCACTCCCAGCATAAGTTTGACACTGTAAGAAATAAATATACAGTGTCAGGGTTACAGTGAGTTCACACTGTGCATTATTTCTGCTCACACATCCTGCAGCACTAATATTCACAAGGGTGGCTATTCTTTTAATAAATTAAAATTGTATAGTATTAATTTGGAATATTTATGATTTTATGTTTGGGGGTGGATGGAAAAGGGCCGACCTCGTCTTCCCCAGAGGGCTTCCTGGTCTCCTGGCTGTCGCTTGTTAGGCCTGTAGACACAAATGGGGAGGGCAGTCATAACTAGTTATTGATGCTGGAAAACATCTGTTCAGAGGGAGGCTCAACAACTATTAGTCAAAAAGATTAGTAGGCCTACAACAAATACAGAGTGAAAAAGCTATGAATGATTTAAAATACAATAGACAGAAAAGGCACAAAGAAAGTCAACCTTGGTAGGCCGCTTGGCCAGGAGAACCTAAGATATTGAGAGTAAATGTCACTGTTAACGTGCTCACATAGAAGCTCATGGAGTGTAGATGCTTAAATGAAGCTAAAGAGGTAAGACGCACTTTAACAAAATCTTGATCACCTGTTGATCTTTAGGCCGGCAGCAGGCCCAGGTGGTCCTGGTGGTCGCCAGTGTTAAAACTTCTGTAAGAAGAGCAGTTGTTGAATGCAGTGGTGTCGCACTGTTGGTTAGCATTGTAACCATATCAAGGCAGCGCACAAGTCTAAAATTTTGGTACATACCAGAGCTGGAAGTAAGGGCCTGACTCTCCTCTTGTCTCCTTTTAGGTCCTGGTCCTTCCATAACGCTATGAGGTAAAAATGATTGTTAAAGCTTCAACTTGAAGAATGGATGAACTCCACAAAATACCAACCAACTGTATGATTCCACTCACCTCTGTATCGCAATATGAAACGGTATATTTATAAAGCTGAAAATACTGCTCTGGCTGACCTGGAGGCCCAGGTGGTCCTGGAGGTCCTTGTCTTGAATCTCCTATGAAAACAATTTGAAATATTAGAAGAAGACACACAGGAGCAGAAGGCGATCAATTCCTGGGAGGATGGCGTCAAGACAAATCCTACAAAATCATTAAGGATGGTCTTCCTGCGATACTATTGTTGTTTTTTTTTTTAACTTATTCTATTTATTGATATATTCAATATATAGAGAGCCAGGGCAATGTCCATTGCATATGAATGTTCATGTAACTTTTAATAATGTACATGACAAAAAGAAAAAACTTGAACTTAATTTTTGCAACGCAGAGTATGTTGTGTCTTGATATTTACCGGACTGTCCAGGTATGACCAGGTGAGACCCACATGGGCCGTGTCCAGCCGTGCAGTTAGCTCTGAGGCCTCCAGACCATGAAACCTTAAACTGGAGTGCTAAAAGTCCAAAAAAAAAAACACAATTTTTAATCAATGAATCATTATGTAATCAGACCAATACTGTGGCTTCTGTAGGAAATTAGACTAAAACCAGCGGTGTAGTGGTGTAGTTAAATTACATTTTTCCGCTTTGCTGATAGAAGCAGCGACTGTTGGCCATGAGTGATAATTTTCAGTAGGGCAAGACTTGTGTAGCTCTAGCTAACACACTCTGTAATGTCAGTTAAAGAAGGTAATCGATATTCTATAAGGGTTTGCTGACATTACTAACATTAACCATATGCCGCGAGCCACTGAGTTTATACTATAATATATTTTATGATAGTCTTGCAGCATTAGGCTTTGCCTTAAAGTTTCCAGAAATGTTTAACAACAATGTAAAAAAATCTGCTATTGATTAATTCTTTTTTTTTTTTTTTAACATCCATGTTTCTCCGCAATAAAAGAGTGGAAAAAATTTCGAAAACCAAATCTGACGGCTTACTTCTCCTCATAAATGAGGAAAATCGGGATCAGGCCTTAGCCCTGCCCACTACCGCTGCATTCGCACTAGATATGAAGTGAGAGAGCTGTTTTTCAAGATGGTTTGCAGAGGGAAAAAGCGTTGGCGGCCTCAGCCACATTTTTGACGCTCAAGTCAGTACTCTATGAGTTTGTTGAGGGAGTGAGGAGTGGTTTGTCACCAAAGTCGGTGACTACAAGCACATATCAGAACGGATTAGTGTAGTTACCCATCTTTTATTTGTTTATGTTTGTTGTTTAGCTTTTACTGGGCCAGTGGTTCGTACACTGCATTAGTGTGTGTGTCTAATACTGACAAGGTTTCAGGTTTATTTTCCCGCCCCTTGTCCCCGCAAGTGAGGAATAGGATTTGGTTCTTAGGTGTATTGAGACATTGAAACCTTGACTATTGAATTCTCCAGAAGCTAAATCATTTTCCGCTGGAGTGAACGGAACTGAGGGGTCTACCAGACTTCATGGCAAATTAGTCGCTAGTTTATAAAATCTCTCGTACAGCATGCTTTGTTGCAATGGATGGGTATAGACATCTATCTTAAATACTATATGCTGTGCATCAATGCTGAACTAATCTTTATTCCTTATTAATTCAACTTTTCATTTGAAGATCAGATAGTATTGGTGTTTCAATTTCTCTTAAATTTTACGTATTTTTGCTTAAGCTCAGATTAATGTCACACGGATCAGATGCAGCAGGTATTTTCCACCCACTAATAATTCATATATGTCTTATAGCTATAACCATGAACCAAAACGTCTCACTCCTGCTTTCCAGTTAGAACTTATAGTTTCAGTCGTTCCCACTGATATTCTGCCTTCTCCCTGTTTCTCCCTGTATATCCTCTTCACCTTTTGACCTGTGAGGAACAAACAAAATCTTGCAGCAAATCTATTAGACTTGTGGGCATAAACAGGATATCTAAATAATGCTTCCTTATGGGAGAAAACAAAGTGGTATATTCCTACGCAGGCTGGCCAGGCACGCACTATCAGCAGTGGCCTAATGGACCTGAGATTGGAAATTCAACACAACATATAATGAATTTAAAGCATAAAAAAACAACAAGCAAATGAAGAACAGTAAGAATTGTGACTACTGCTGATTGGCACCATGATTCGGGGCTTAAGATGCTTAGATATGGCAGATATGTCAAGGACATTCATCTGGCACGTTTTCTGGCTGTCAAGGGTCAGACCCTTGACAATCCAGGAGGTCCAGCCAGGGCGCGGGAGGACTCAGAGGCCTCAGGTGGTTCCTGGGATGCCAATACACTGTGGTAAACGGCAGCTGAGAAAAAATAGCAAGGCTCAGATATCCTCAAATATAGTCTGATCAATAATGTGTTAAAGTCTAATTTTTATCATGCTGTGTTACCTGCATTGATAATTCTTCCGGGTTCACCAGTGTCACCTAAAAAATAGAGAGACACATGCTATATCAGATTACAGAAATTTTTTTAATGAATAGGCACAAATACTATTTTAGAAAAACTGCAGGAGGCCCTCAAGCCTGAAAGCTGAAAGTTGACAGCAGTTGTACCTTTGGCGCCAGTTGTCCTGGATTCCCTGGTATCCTAAAAATAAGAATAAAAGTACATTATAGTGTTGAGGAAGGAAGACAATGATATTTCCACAGAATTAAATAATGAAAACTACAATGTGTGCTGTATTAATAGTAGAGTCATACCTGGTGGTCCTTGAAGCCCAGGTGCTTCCTATAGAGGGGTGGTGGAGGGTGGAGAGGGTAAATATATCGCATCATATTATCCACTGATGATAATGTTAATATAGCTTAAGATCGTGTTTCATAAAGAAATGACTTTATGTTCACTTTACCTGGAAGTCCAGCATCACCCCGGGAGGGCCCAGCAGGTCCCTGAGTCCAGGTGGCCCAGCGAGATCTTGGTCACCTGAAAAAATAAAATGAAATACAAATTACAAATATATAAGTTATAGTTTTTTGGGTTCTTTTTTTTTTTCGAAATTGTGTATGGAAAAGTCTTGTTTTTTAGCCTGACCCTCATTCATTTTTGGTTGTGAAGCCATTCAGCACCACGTCCTGGTGCATATTCAGATATTATTCAAATAAGTGTATCTGTAGTACTTATATAATGACTAATTTACCTCTTGATCTTTTGCACCATCATGTTCCAGACAATCCTGATGAAAGAGAGAAAAAAAATATTCAATTGGGTTTTTGAGGGGGAAGGGGGTGGGGAGGACTCCTCTCTGGCTGCCCCCTCATGGATGATCTCATTACTGCAAACATTCACTCAGTTTATAATGATTTCCACATAAAGTTAACATCAACACTTTCAGGGAAAGGATAAAGACACATTTACTATGTTTAATTCTAAGCTGCTGAAAATAACTAATTTGTAGACTATAGAATAAACTATATATATATATATATATACACATATAATAATAAATTAATTCGTATAAGAATATATAATAAAAATAGAATATTATAGAATAAATTAAATTCTAAAAAAAGATAGACATACTAAAAATGATTTATACTCAGTTTTAGTGCTTTTTCCACTTTCTTGGTACAATTTTTTATTATGATCACACGCACCACGCTTAATTCATTACAGCCAAGTCACATTAAAAATAACATTTGAGTTCACTACCAGCGGGAGACTCCAGATAAATTACCAATCTTCGCACCGCGCGACCCAAATAGTCTCCGAACATAACACCCAGAAAATGGCATAAAACTATCCCAGTCATATTTCCCCAAATGTCAAAACTATAGTTCAGAAGCACGATACCATAAGCGTGAGAATCTCAGAATCAATTTATTATCTGAGGTTGGAGGTCCTGTAGTTCACCCATTGACCCTTTGGATCCTTTCTCTTCCCAGCTTGCCGGCAGGCAGAACCTGGTAAACCAGTATCAACCTAATGGAAGTGGAACAGCCTGTATGAGAACCAACTATATGGACACTGTACAAGGTTATAGATATATGCCAATCCTGACCCTCTAGCAAATAGTTAAATTCACAACAAGCTGGACTGAACCTTGCAGAACCTCTGAACCTTTGTCTCCAGCTTCAGCCTAAAATAAACAATTAATTAACCTATGGTTAGAAACACTGACCCACACAACTCTTATCAAAAATCTGATGTAGTTACAACAAACCTTTAAGTCCCTGAAATCCAGCAAGTCGCTCTGTCACCTGCAAGAGTTGAGAAGAGAGACTGTGAGTAATATTATAATATTTAAAATAAAGTCTTTAACTGTGGCATTTCAGCTGTGTTTAGCAAGTGAACAAGATCATGTGACCTAACTTTAGACCCAGGTGGACCCTGACTCACCACGGAAACCCTGAGGACCTGGTTGACTATAACAAAACAGTTCATGTAAAAATGTCAGGGATTAAGTCAAGGCTCTGCTAAAGTGTTTTATATGTTGGTGCCAGTAAATTCAATAACATTCAACTGTTAGGAGTCACTGTAATGGTGCACATGAATGAAAACAGGGAGAAACTGACCTGGTGGCCCAGAAAAGACCAGGAGCTCCTGCTGAGGCCTGCAGCAAAGATGAATAATTTTAAGAAAAAAAAAAACATTCCACACATAATAATAATCTAACTAAAATGTATTTGTGCTAATGTGGAGCTGTGGAAATTAAGAATTAACAGACAGTCGTATAAAACTGGAATACAAGTTTTTCAAGTAACACTTTATTTAATCTTTGTTAGTCTTTTTGGGAAACTCCAATGGATACCATCATGAACTATTTTTAACTTTACCTTTTACATAATTTCTTGTTTTTCTTAAAATTCAAATAAAAAGAGCAAGTACTTGTTACTGCTGCAGCTAACACTTCCTCCACCTTCATTTTATTTATTATTATTATTATTATTGTGTAAGTCTTTCTTGGAAATGTCTGTGTAATATACAAAGATATTTACTAAATACCACTTAATTTCTAGGAGATTTTGAGGAGGGTATCCAGGAAGTTGAACTACTTGCATTAAATTACTACTCTACTTAAAAAAAAACTAAAACTTTATTGATATAATTGAAACCTGATGTGAATATATTCATACTGTATTAGTAATCCCAGTTCATCATTTTTAACTGTTAGGTGGCAATAGTGAAATATCCACTTATTCAAAAATATAAAGAAAAATTGTAATATAGCAGAACAAGATAAAATGATTAACAAAATGAAAACTTATTTAAAGTAAACCCTGTTCAGTTACTGATACACAGTATATAAACAATTTAGTAAATAGTTCATAACACATTATAATGTATTTTTAAATAGATAGAATAACATTTTAAATGTTTATTAATGTACAATATTTATCAGCAGTTTTTACTGTGAAGAATACTATTTCATATTATTACAACTGTGTTTTACTATATTGTCATTCATTATCTGTTTAGACACCAGCTTCCACTTATGGGTGCCCACAGGGGTTGATATAATTGTTGACAGATACAATTAATAAAAAACTTATATCTGCTTACAGCTACATCATAGTGTGCTAATATTTATTAAATGTGTATGTTATATACTGCTTATAAATACCTAAATAAGGGAACAAAAGGATAGGAAAGAATAATTCTTTATTCATAATATGGTGTTTTCCTAGAAGTAGAACAGCATGAATGATTTATATATAAAAATTCAATATAATTTAGTTTTTCATCGATCTGGGGCGTTTTAATTCTTGAATAACAGTACATGTCCACTGTCATGGTAGAGATCTTGTTTGGCTTTATTTAATATTGATGTGAATGAGGCAGCATTTGCAACTGACTCAATGCTGCCACCTGGTGCTGTTCGTTGGAGATGCTCCTTTTTAGATAATTTTGTGTGACATTTATCTAAACATGAACAAAAGGGACAATGATTTATGTTCAGTGATCTCACCTTTTGTGCCCATCTGGCCGGCAGGTCCCACAAGACCAGGAACCCCAGGCTCTCCAGGAGCACCTACATAAACCAAACACATCAGATCCTGTAGTGACACATTGTTTTTTAATCAAGATAAATTAGTTGCTATTTGTATCACTAAGAGCACACAACCTTTTTGCTGCTGTCAATCTGAGCCGTACCTCTGTCACCTTTCAGTCCAAAGCTTGCAGTTCCTGGCTCACCTCTGGGGCCAGCTGGGCCCTCACGACCCCTGATACCTGGTGGCCCTCCATCCCATGTTCACCTGATCACACATTTTACATACAGATACTCACTCACTCAAAATAATCTGAACAGTTTACTTGTATCATGTAGTTTTGACCTGAAGTGATTTCTGTACCTTGGCTTCCTTTCTGTCCTTTAGGACCCTCAGGGCCTGCGTGTCCCATTGCACCTGGAGCACCTGAGGTCAAAGGTCACAGTAAGTAAAATGACATCATGATACCCACAAAATAAATCTATGAAAATGTAAAATACTGGTAATGACTTGAGGAAAATGTCAGTCATCATTCCTCACCTGGAATTCCAGGGAAACCAGCATCACCTGTGACAAGTGACACATACATTTAAAATATGATGGAAGAACGCAAATAAATAACTGACAACAGACCAACAGAAACAGAAGTGAAAAATCTGAGGAAGGGATTTCTTGTAGTAGGTGTTTTTGTTTTGCCAACCTTTAGATCCGGGTTCACCTGAAAAGGATAAAAAATAAATATAAATGAATACAAATTAAACACAACTCTTGTGGATTAAATGCAAAAGAGGTATATGTTTAGATTTTATTTGAATTTCACCTTTTGGTCCAGGCAGCCCTCTCTCTCCCTGCACTGAGGATGTTAGAAAAGCCTGAAAAAAAACAAAAACAGTTCAGTTAACATGAAGTATTGTGTTGTGTGTGTGTGTGTGTGTGTGTGTGTGTGTGTGTGTGTGTGTGTTGTGTGTCTGTGTGTGTGTCTGTGTGTGTGTGTGTGTCTGTATGTTGTATGTTGTATGTGTGTGTGTGTGTGTGTGTTCTGTGTGTGTGTGTCTGTGTGTGTGTGTCTGTATGTATGTATGTATGGTGTGTGTTGTGTGTGTGTGTGTGTGTGTATGTATGTGTGTGTGTGTGTTGTGTCTGTATGTGTGTGTGTGTTGTGTGTGTGTGTGTGTGTGTTGTGTGTGTGTGTGTTGTGTCTGTTGTATGTATGTTGTGTGTGTTGTGTGTGGTGTTTTGTGTGTGTGTGTGTGTTGCTTATGTATGTGTGTGTGTGTGTGTGTGTCTGTATGTGTGTGTGTGTGTGTGTGTGTGTGTGTGTGTGGAGTACCTCTGAAAGTCTGTGACTGCATTTCAGATCTGAGCATGTGTTGGATTGTCATCTGAAGAACAGCAGCGTCTATGTGTCCTCCACTCATGCCAGTCCAAAAGCCAGTGCACCGCTGAAACTGGTACCAGAACCGCCGGCGCTTCCACCATAAGTGGTACCAGCACTGCTAGAGCTTCCACTATGACTGGTACCAGCACTGCCGCCGCTGCTACCGTAACCAGTACCAGCTCTGCCGCCGCTGGTACCGTAACCACTACCAACACTGCCAGCGCTTCCACTATGACTGGTACCAGCACTGCTAGGCTTCCACTATGACTGGTACCAGCACTGCACCGCTCACCGTAACCAGTACCAGCACTGCCGCGTGCTACCATAACCAGTACCAGCACTGCCAGCGCTGCCACCGAAGCTGGTGTCCGGTGACTCCGCCACTGGCCCCACTTGCCCCACTGGCCCCACTGGCCCACTGGCCCCACTGGCCCCACTTGCCCCACTTGGCCCACTTGCCCCACTTGCCCCACTGGCCCCACACTGGCCCACTTGCCTTGGTGCTGGCGGCTTCACGGGCAGCAGCAGTGGCAATGATATCGGCACTGCAGGAAGCTTTGGTGGTGCCAGTGGGGCCAGTGGTGCCAGTGGGGCCAGTGGGCCAGTGGGGCCAGTGGTGCCAGTGGTGCCAGTGGGGCCAGTGGGGCAAGTGGGGCCAGTGGGGCAAGTGGGGCAAGTGGGGCAAGTGGGGCAAGTGGGGCCAGTGGGGCCAGTGGGGCCAGTGGGGCAAGTGGGGCCAGTGGCGGAGTCACCGACACCAGCTTCGGTGGCAGCGCTGGCAGTGCTGGTACTGGTTATGGTAGCAGCGGCGGCAGTGCTGGTACTGGTTACGGTAGCAGCGGTGGCAGTGCTGGTACCAGTCATAGTGGAAGCTCTAGCAGTGCTGGTACCAGTCATAGTGGAAGCGCTGGCAGTGTTGGTAGTGGTTACGGTACCAGCGGCGGCAGAGCTGGTACTGGTTACGGTAGCAGCGGCGGCAGTGCTGGTACCAGTCATAGTGGAAGCTCTAGCAGTGCTGGTACCACTTATGGTGGAAGCGCCGGCGGTTCTGGTACCGGTTTCAGCGGTGGCACTGGCTTTGGGACTGGCATGAGTGGAGGACACATAGACGCTGCTGTTCTTCAGATGACAATCCAACACATGCTCAGATCTGAAATGCAGTCACAGACTTTCAGAGGTACTCACACACACACACACACACACACACACAGACACACACACACAGACACACACACACAGACACACACACACAGACACACACACACAGACACACACACACAGACACACACACACAGACACACACACACAGACACACACACACAGACACACACACACAGACACACACACACAGACACACACACACAGACACACACACACAGACACACACACACAGACACACACACACAGACACACACACACAGACACACACACACAGACACACACACACAGACACACACACACAGACACACACACACAGACACACACACACAGACACACACACACAGACACACACACACAGACACACACACACAGACACACACACACAGACACACACACACAGACACACACACACAGACACACACACACACACACACACACACAATACTTCATGTTAACTGAACTGTTTTTGTTTTTTTCAGCTTTTCTAACATCCTCAGTGCAGGGAGAGAGAGGGCTGCCTGGACCAAAAGGTGAAATTCAAATAAAATCTAAACATATACCTCTTTTGCATTTAATCCACAAGAGTTGTGTTTAATTTGTATTCATTTATATTTATTTTTTATCCTTTTCAGGTGAACCCGGATCTAAAGGTTGGCAAAACAAAAACACCTACTACAAGAAATCCCTTCCTCAGATTTTTCACTTCTGTTTCTGTTGTTCTGTTGTCAGTTATTTATTTGCGTTCTTCTATCATATTTAAATGTATGTGTCACTTGTCACAGGTGATGCTGGTTTCCCTGGAATTCCAGGTGAGGAATGATGACTGACATTTTCCTCAAGTCATTACCAGTATTTTACATTTTCGTAGATTTATTTTGTGGTATCATGATGTCATTTTACTTACTGTGACCTTTGACCTCAGGTGCTCCAGGTGCAATGGGACACGCAGGCCCTGAGGGTCCTAAAGGACAGAAAGGAAGCCAAGGTACAGAAATCACTTCAGGTCAAACTACATGATACAAGTAAACTGTTCAGATTATTTTGAGTGAGTGAGTATCTGTATGTAAAATGTGTGATCAGGTGAACATGGGATGGAGGGGCCACCAGGTATCAGGGGTCGTGAGGGCCCAGCTGGCCCCAGAGGTGAGCCAGGAACTGCAAGCTTTGGACTGAAAGGTGACAGAGGTACGGCTCAGATTGACAGCAGCAAAAAGGTTGTGTGCTCTTAGTGATACAAATAGCAACTAATTTATCTTGATTAAAAAACAATGTGTCACTACAGGATCTGATGTGTTTGGTTTATGTAGGTGCTCCTGGAGAGCCTGGGGTTCCTGGGTCTGTGGGACCTGCCGGCCAGATGGGACAAAAAGGTGAGATCACTGAACATAAATCATTGTCCCTTTTGTTTTCATGTTTAGATAAATGTCACACAAAATTATCTAAAAAGGAGCATCTCCAACGAACAGCACCAGGTGGCAGCATTGAGTCAGTTGCAAATGCTGCCTCATTCACATCAATATTAAATAAAGCCAAACAAGATCTCTACCATGACGTGGACATGTACTGTATTCAAGAATTAAAACGCCCCAGACGATGAAAAACTAAATATATTGAATTTTTATATATAAAATTCATTCATGCTGCTTCTACTTCTAGGAAAACACCATATTATGAATAAAGAATTATTCTTCCTATCCTTTTGTTCCCTTATTTAGTATTTATAAGCAGTATATACATACACATTTAATAAATATTAGCACACTATGATGTAGCTGTAAGCAGATATAAGTTTTTATTAATGTATCTGTCAACAATTATATCAACCCCTGTGGGCACCCATAAGTGGAAGCTGGTGTCTAAACAGATAATGAATGACAATATAGTAAAACACAGTTGTAATAATATGAAATAGTATGTCTTCACAGTAAAACTGCTGATAAATATTGTACATTAATAAACATTTAAAATGTTATTCTATCTATTTAAAAATACATTATAATGTGTTATGAACCATTTACTAAATGTTTATATACTGTGTATCAGTACTGAACAGGGTTTTACCTTTAAATAAGTTTTCATTTTGTTAATCATTTATCTTGTTCTGCTATATTACAATTTTCTTTATATTTTTGATAAGTGAATATTCACTATTGCACCTATAACAGTTAAAAATTATGAACTGGGGATTACTAATACAGTATGAATATATTCACATCAGTTTTCAATTTATATCAATAAAGTTTTTAGTTTTTTTTTTAAGTAGAGTAGTAATTTAATGCAAGTAGTTCAACTTCCTGGATACCCTCCTCAAAATCTCCTAGAAATTAAGTGGTATTTAGTAAATATCTTGTATATTACACAGACATTTCCAAGAAAGACTTACACAATAATAATAATAATAATAATAAAATGAAGGTGGAGGAAGTGTTAGCTGCAGCAGTAACAAGTACTTGCTCTTTTTATTTGAATTTTTAAGAAAAAACAAGGAAATTATGTAATAGGTAAGTGAAAAATAGTTCATGATGGTATCCATTGGAGTTTCCAAAAAGACTAACAAAGATTAAATAAAGTGTTACTTGAAAAACTTGTATTCCCAGTTTTATACGACTGTCTGTTAATTCTTAATTCCACAGCTCCACATTAGCACAATACATTTTTAGTTAGATTATTATGATGTGTGGAATGTTTTTTTTTTCTTAAAATTATTCATCTTTGCTGCAGGCTCAGCAGGAGCTCCTGGTCTTTCTGGGCCACCAGGTCAGTTTCTCCCTGTTTTCATTCATGTGCACCATTACAGTGACTCCTAAAGTTGAATGTTATTGAATTTACTGGCACCAACTATAAAACACTGTTAGCAGAGCCTTGACTTAATCCCTGACATTTTACATGAACTGTTTTGTTATAGGTCAACCAGGTCCTCAGGGTTTCCGTGGCGAGTCAGGGTCACCTGGGTCTAAAGGTAGGTCACATGGATCTTGTTCACTTGCTAAACACAGTGAAATGCACAGTTAAGACTTTATTTTAAATATTATAATATTACTCACAGTCTCTCTTCTCACTCTGCAGGTGACAGAGGACTTGCTGGATTTCAGGGACTTAAAGGTTTGTTGTAACTACATCAGATTTTGATAAGAGTTGTGTGGTCAGTGTTTCTAACCATAGGTTAATTAATTGTTTATTTTAGGTGAAGCTGGAGACAAAGGTCTCAGAGGTCTGCAAGGTCAGTCCAGCTTTGTGAATTAAACTATATTTGTAGAGGTCAGATTGGCATATTCTATACCTTGTACAGTCCATATGAGTTTTCTCATACAGCTGTTCCACTCCTTAGGTGATACTGGTTTACCAGGTCTGCCTGGGCAAGCTGGAGAGAAAGGATCCAAAGGGTCAATGGGTGAGTAACAGGACCTCCAACCTCAGATAATAAATTGATTCTGAGATTCTCAGCTTATGGTATCGTGCTTCTGAACTATAGTTTGACATTTGGGAAATATGACTGGGATAGTTTGCCATTTTCTGGGTGTTATGTCTCGGACTATTTTGTGGCGCGGTGGAAGTGGTAATTTACTGGAGTCTCCGCTGGTAGTGAACTCAAAATGTTATTTTAATGTGACTTGGCTGTAATGAATTAAGGTGGTGCGTGTGATCATAATAAAAATTGTCCAAGAAAGTGGAAAAAGCACTTAAAACTGAGTATAATCATTTTTAGTATGTCTTATTCTTTTTTTTAGAATTTAATTTATTCTATATATTCTATTTTATATATTCTATATACGAATTTAATTTATTATATATATGTGTATTTATATATATATATATATAGTTTATTCTATAGTCTACAAATTAGTTATTTCAGCAGCTTAGAATTAAACATAGTAAATGTGTCTTTATCCTTTCCCTGAAAGTGTTGATGTTAACTTTATGTGAAATCATTATAACTGAGTGCAATGTTGCAGTAATGAGATCATCCATGAGGGGGCAGCAGAGAGGAGTCCTCCCCACCCCCTTCCCCCTCAAAAACCCAATTGAATATTTTTTTCTCTCTTTCATCAGGATTGTCTGGACATGATGGTGCAAAAGGATCAAGAGGTAAATTAGTCATTATATAAGTACTACAGATACACTTATTTGAATAATATCTGAATATGCACCAGGACGTGGTGCTGAATGGCTTCACAACCCAAAAATGAATGAGGGTCAGGCTAAAAACAAGACTTTTCCATACACAATTTCGAAAAAAAAAAACCCCAAAAAACTATAACTTATATATTTGTATATTTGTATTTCATTTTATTTTTCAGGTGACCAAGGATCTGCTGGGCCACCTGGACTCAGGGGACCTGCTGGGCCTCCCGGTGATGCTGGACTTCCAGGTAAAGTGAACATAAAGTCATTCTTATGAAACACGATCTTAAGCTATATTAACATTATCATCAGTGGATAATATGATGCGATATATTTACCCTCTCCACCCTCCACCACCCCTCTATAGGAGCACCTGGGCTTCAAGGACCACCAGGTATGACTCTACTATTAATACAGCACACATTGTAGTTTTATTATTTAATTCTGTGAAATATCATTGTCTTCCTTCTCAACACTATAAATGTACTTTTATCTTATTTTTAGGGATACCAGGGAATCCAGGACAACCTGGCGCCAAAGGTACAGCTGCTGTCAACTTCAGCTTCAGGCTTGAGGGCCTCCTGCAGTTTTCTAAAATAGTATTTGTGCTATTCATTAAAAAATTCTGTATCTGATATAGCATGTGTCTCTCTATTTTTAGGTGACACTGGTGAACCCGGAAGAATTATCAATGCAGGTAACACAGCATGATAAAAATTAGACTTTAACACATTATTGATCAGACTATATTTTGAGGATATCTGAGCATTGCTTATTTTTTCCAGCTGGTTCCACATCTATTGGCATCCCAGGACCACCTGGGCCCTCTGGTCCTCCCGGCCCTGCTGGACCTCCTGGATTGTCAGGTCTGACCCTTGACAGCCCAGAAAGTAGCCAGATGATGTCCTTGACATTCTGCATATCTAGCATCTTAGCCCCGAATCATAGTGCCATAGCAGTAGTCACAATTCTTACTTACTTATTTGTTTTGTTTTTTTATGCTTTAATTCATTATATGTTGTGTTGATTTCCAATCTCAGGTCCCATTGGCCCTGCTGGTCTGCCTGGCCAGCCTGGTAGGTCATCACACTTTTTTTCTCCCAAAGGAAGCTTTTTAGATCATCTGTTATAGCCCACAGAGTCTAATAGATGCTGCATTTTGTTTGTCCTCACAGGTCCTAAAGGTGACAGAGGATATAAGGGAGAACAGGGAGAAGCAGGAATATCAGTGAGAACGACTGAAACTATAAGTTCAACTGGAGCAAGGAGTGAGTACTTTTTTTGGTTTGCTATAAGACATATAGTGTTTAGGGGTGAGAAATAACCTGCTGCATCTGTCGTGTGACATTATCTGAGCTTAAAGCAAAAATACGTAAAATTTAAGAGACAATTAAACAACACAATCTTGATCTTGCAAATGAAAAGTTGAATTTATAAGGAATAAAATTAGTTCAGCATTGATGCTACAGCCCATGGCTGACTTAAGATAGATGTCTAAACCCATCCATTGCACAAAGCTGTGTAATCCGGGATTTTATAAACTAGGACTAATTTGCCATGAAGTCTGGTAGACCCCTCAGTTCCGTTCACTCCAGCAGAAATGATTTGCCTTCTGGAAGAATTCAATAGTCAAGGTTTCATATGTCATACACCTAAGAAACCAATCCTATCCACTTGCGGGGACAAGGGGCGGGAAAATAAACCTGAAACCTTGTCAGTATTAGCACAACCACTAATGCAGTGTCAACCACTGCCAGCTACAAGCTAACAAACAACATAAACAAATAAAAGATGGTAACTACACTAATCGTTCTGATATGTCTTGTAGTCACCGACTTTGGTGCACAAGACACTCCTCACTCCTCAACAAACTCCTGAGTCTGACTGAGGCTCAAACATGTGGCTGAGTCGCCACGATTTGTCCTCTGCAAACCATCTTGATAAACACTGCTCTCTCACTGTCAACCTAGTGCAAGCAGCGGTAGTGGGCAGGGCATAAGGCCTGATCCAGAATTTCTCAATGAGGAAGTAAGCGTAGATTTGGTTTTCACAATTTTTTCACTTTTTATGTGGGAAAACCATGGATGTTAAAAAAAAAAAAAAATTAATCATAGCAGATTTTTTACATTGTGTAAAACATCTGGAACTTTAAGGCAAGCCTAATGCTGCAGACTAATCTAAAATATATTTGTTAAACTAGTCCCAGCGGCATATGGTTAATGTTAGCTAATGTCAGCAAACCTTAGATAGACATTACTTTAACTGACATTACAGAGTGTGTTAGCTGGCTACACAGTCTTCCCTACCTGAAATTATCACTCATGGCCAAAGTCGCTGCTCTTCAGCAAAGGGAAAAATGTAATTTACTACACTACTACACCCTGGTTTGTCTATTTCTACAGACCACAGTATTGTTGATTAAATGATCATTGATTAAAATGTGTTTTTATTTTGGCTTTAGCTCAGTTTAGTTCTGGTGGAGCCTCAGCACTACCTGGCCCACCTGGCCCACCGGGTCCACCTGGTCATCCTGGACGTCCAGGTAAATAAGACACAACATACTCTGTTGCAAAATTAAGTTCAAGTTTTTCTTTTTGTCATGTACATTTTAAAAGTACATTGAACATTCATATGCAATGACATGCCCTGGCTCTCTATATATGAATATATCAATAAATGAGAATAAGTTAAAAAAAAACAACAATAGTTATCGAGGAGACCATCCTTAATGATTATGTAGGATTTGTCTGACGCCATCTGAGAATGATCGCCTTCTGCTCCTGCTGTGTCTTCTTCTAATATTCTTCAAATTGTTTTCATTAGGAGATTCAAGACAAGGACCTCCAGGACCACCTGGGCCTCCAGGTCAGCCAGGCAAGTATTTCAGCTTATAAAATATACCGTTTCATATTTGGATACAGAGGTGAGTGGATCATACAGTGTGGTTGGTATTTTGTGGAGTTCATCCATTCTTCAAGTGAAGCTTTAACAATCATTTTTACCTCATAGGTTATGGAAGACCAGGACCTAAAGGAGACAGAGGAGAGTCAGGCTTTACATCCAGCTCTGGTATGTACCAAAATTTAGACTTGTGCGCTGCCTTGATATGGGTTACACATGTAACCCAACAGTGACACCACTGATTCAACACTGCTCTTCTTACAGGAACGTTTTACACTGGACCACCAGGACCACCTGGGCCTGCTGGGCCTAAAGGATCAACAGGTGATCAGATTTTGTAAAGTGGTCTTACCTCTTTTGCTTCATTTAAGACAATCTACACTCCATGAGTTCTATTAGCACTTTAACATGACATTTCTCTCAATATCTTAGGTTCTCCTGGACCAAGGGGCTACCAAGGTGACTTTCTTTGTGCCTTTTCTGTCTATTGTATTTAAATCATTAGCTTTTTCACTCTGTATTTGTTGTAGGCCTACTAATCTTTTTGACTAATAGTTGTGAGCCTCCCTCTGAACAGATGTTTCCAGCATCAATAACTGTGACTGCTCATTTGTGTCTCAGGTGAACAAGGACAGCCAGGAAGACCAGGAAGCTCTGGGGGAGGTCGGCCCTTTTTCCAACAAACATAAATCATAAATATTCAAATTAAACTTAAATTTATTTATTTAAGAGCCACCCTTGTGATATTAGTGCTGAGGATGTGTGTGGAGCAGGCTTAATGCACAGTGTGATATACTGACACTGTATATTTATTTCTTACAGTGTCAACTTATGCTGGAGGACACGGGATCCCTGGTCCACCAGGTCCACCAGGGCCACCCGGACGTCCAGGACCACAAGGAATCAAAGGTAAACCTTACATCACACTGAAATCTGCAGATGTTGTCAGTGTTTAATTGTCTGTATTTCACAGCAAATACTGTATCCACCTGATAATGCTTTTGTTGTTGTTTATCATTTCTAAGGGGACACCGGAGCTCCTGGTATTTCTGGCTCTTCAAGAGGTAGAGAAAAACATCATTATTGTCCTAACTACTCTTTACAATAGCTCACAGTGGCTTTAATGTTTGGCATATGTTCTCTTCAGGGTCTTTACTATCACTTTTTTCCCCAGGCTCCATTTCTGTCACTTCAGGTCCTCCTGGTCCCGCAGGCCCTCCTGGCCCTCCAGGCCAGCCAGGCTCTTTTGCTTCTTCTAGTGAGATGCGCCTATACATCTCTGAATATCTAAGTAAGTGTTGTTCTGAGGCAATGTCACAAGATCACAGGCTGTCAGGGGGACAGAACAGAATATTAACATGTTTAATTTGATCCATACAGATAGAATCAGACAGTCTGGTAACCCTGGACCTCCAGGTCCACCTGGGCCTCCAGGAATCCCTGGAACCTACTCAGGCTCTATAGAGGACATTGCCGCTCGGATCATTGCCTACCTGCGAAGTAAGCTAGTGCTTTTCCCCAGAATTTATATTACTAAATGGTAGTGTGAGAAGAAGGTCCTTATGGATCTGAATTATTATATATACCTTTAACTGTGTTGTGCAATTTCAGGTTCAGGCTCAGGCCTCATCATTGGTCCTCCAGGACCACCAGGTCCTCCTGGACCTACTATTGAACTTCAGTCAGTCAGTGATGTCATTGCTGTGCTTCGGAGTAAGTGCAATATATATTCACACTAAGACAAATGGTATCAGACACCTCTGACATCTTATACGCATATTACAGGTGTCTGTTCACTCAGCATCATCTAGTTTGACTGTGAAGACAAACACATTTCAGGACTTGCTTTTTCAGAGGATGTACCAAGCTAAACTATGTCTCTGCTGTGTCTAGGAGATGATGTGAGGAGATATTTGATCTCAATTGCACAACAACAACAACTACCATCAGGGGGATCAAACGGACTTGTAGGCAGTTACAGTATAGAACAGATAGCGACATATGTCTTCAATATCATGAATGGTAAGTACAGCTTGAACTAACAGAAAACAGTAACCCTGGAACTGATGCCTGGGCTTGACCAAACAATCAAACTGCATTTCTTGTTATTTTCAGACAGAGGGATTGCTAGAGGTCCACCTGGGCCACCTGGTCCTCCTGGGCCTGCTGGTGCAGGAGGTTCTGGCTTCAGTACAGCTACAATTGACTATTCTGCACTGATGAGAAGTAAGATCATAATTATTAGCTTTGCCCATTGACACACACCGACCTTGTTTCACCTATAGGATTTAAATCCACTCATCTTGTTGTTGCTCGTTAATTGAACATCATCGCTTTCTGAGAATAATGGAAATCTAACCGACTCACTCACTTATTCACCATCTCCATTGTATCCTCATCCACTTACCCAGATACAGACTTCCGCTCTTGGATCAGCTCTGCCATACAACATGGTCCTCCTGGTCCTCGAGGTGAGCCAGGGCTACCTGGCCCTGCTGGCCCTCAGGGGCCTCCGGGAGTCTCCACTGCCACTGTGTATGGGGCGGGAGGTCGTGGCTACAGCTTGGAGGACATTCAGCGTTACCTGCAGAGTGAGTCTGACAGAAATCCCTTAAAATAAATTATTTGAACTTAACACAGCTATCCATGAATTAAATTAAAGATTATTCTCAAAATCTCTTAAAATCTTGAGAACAAATATAATCATGTAGATGCTACAGAAATGGCCTCAAGTCTTATTCCTCATATTAGTAAATTAAGACGCAAATCCAAATCCCCAAATCCCACCCCCAACAGCGATGTCACATTGCACTGACAAACTCTGAGGTCGTTTTGTTTATTTTTTTTTCGTTCTGCCACCCACCACTGTCAAAGGTAGAGAAAGCAGTGCTGGAGAAAGACTGTTGATATTTGAACTTAACAGCAAAACAAATACCCCTTCAGAGGACTGTAGGTTTGCAGCTAAGCTAACAAAGAAGCTAACGTTACCTGGCATAGAATTTTAAATTATACATCCAACTGAATAAATCCACTGTGCTAGCAAACTTGTGTGGCTAAAATCGTTTTCAAGTTGTACAGACAAATACCATGATACAGAGCAAACAACGAGACAAGAAACCCTTGCTACAGTTTGTGCTGCAAAGCTAACAAGCAGAGAGGACGAGACGGTTTGTAATAACCCGCACGCAAGCTGCAAACAGCATACTCACAACTCTACTGCTACTATAGCTAACATCACACCAACAGCATATCTTGGCAAACTAGAAAGAAAGCCGAATGTCCATGGGGAAGAAATTTAACGATACCAAACACAGAAATGTGACACTGGTGGCTGCTTGCTAACTAACCAGTTGGCATTAGCTAGCAAAGCAAATGACACCTACCTGTCAAGCAGAACGAGAGCAACCTCCACATCTTTCTTCATGCCTTTCAGCTCTCAGATGTCTCTCTACCATTGTTGGATGGTGTCAAGTGGACCATGAGGAGATGTTCACTGAAATTTACCAAAAGTGTATTTGATTATAAACGCTTACTTTATCTTTAACATAGTTGGTGTTGCACAAGGTTTCCTCATCTTGCCCTGCACACATTGGAATGACAATAACTTTGAATTGAATTTTTTTCAGGCTCTGGGTTCAGAGGTCATCCCGGCCCTCCAGGTCCTCCAGGTCCACAGGGTCCACCAGGCACTTTCACTAGATCAGTTTCCATCAGTGGAAACTTCCCTCGGGAGAGCATTCGTGCTGAAATTCAGGATTATCTGACCAGTAAGATCCAAACATCCCACACAGACAAGACTCCTTTGACCTTGTGACCCCTTTAACCTTCATAACACTGCTTCTGCCGTGTTCTTGCATAAATCCCATGCTCGCTGGAAATACAGTATATATGTAAAACCTAAGACAGCAGGTGAGTCCAGATATCACAGGTGAATTTTATTTTTCAGGTGACAGTGTTCGTCAATTCATCACCGGACCTCCAGGGCCTCAGGGGCCAAGGGGTCAGAAAGGAGAACGTGGAGAGCTTGTTTACGTCCAAGGCAACACACAGAGCCAGGGCTACGCTCATGGTGACTCCCGCTACGGCTCGGAGCGCAGAGAGATCGATATCAGCAAGCTCGCTGAGACATTGGACTACTCCAACGTTGCCTTGAAAGTTACAGACTACATCAGGAGTGAGTCAATTACAGCTGCCAAACGTACAGATACTGATTTTTTGTAGTTGCCTTTATGAAAAATGAAAAAAGTTTGGTAGATATGCTCTAAGTTTTGGAGCTTCAGTTCCCATAATGTTTAGGGGCTGTTGCTATGGATTCAGTGATTTATGCTGTGGGCTACAACTTGAGCTGCATTTTTTAGCCAATATTTGTTCACATTTTTGAAAATTGGCAGCATTAAAAGTGCTCTGAATCAGCTATTACCAGTTCCTTTTAGCAATGTATCAGTGGGTGTACAGATAACTCTCACTGGATTACTTTGATACTGAGGAAAACTTAAAAATGTGATGATTGTCAGACAAGTTCTAGAGCATCTTTGTTTCTGATTTCTAAGCTGTTTTATGGGGTTTGAGCTTGATTTGTCTGAAGGTGGGCCCACTTTGAAAACACCTTACTTAAGAAAAGGATCTGAATATTTCTTCCATCTCTGGCCAACAATGACGAAAGTATTGTTTTCTAACAACCTTCCTGCAGATCAAGGCCTGCTGCAGGGCTACCTGGTTGAGGGTCCTTCGAGGACGAATGTAAGAGCGATTCAAGGACCCCCTGGTCCACCTGGTCCTCCCGGACCACCTGGTTACAGCCGTGTCATCGGGTCCTATGGCAATGTCACAGCTGACCTCATGGAATTCTTCAGAAGTGAGGATTATGACTTTCCACATACTGTATCAGGTTAAATATTACAGCAATGGAAAACGGTCCAGACTTATGTAAGTGTAGCTGGAAAATGTTGCTTCATCACGACTGAATCTGTGTTTTTGCTCTTGCTCTTGCTCTTGCTCTTGCTCTTGTGTAGCCCATGGCACCATCCCCGGCCCTCCAGGAAACCCTGGACCGAAGGGAGACAGAGGGTACCCAGGACCCAGAGGAGAAAAGGGTACATTTAAATAGTGCTGATTTTCCAGAGTAATGTTTTAGTGGCGTGACTGAGACAAGCATTCTGAGAGTTTTTGTGTGTTTACAGGTGATCTTGGACAACAGGGTTTACCAGGATTACCAGGGGCATACACTGTCCAGATTCCACACAGAGTGCAGAAGAGGGATACAGGTAAAATCATCAAAATGTTGTCAAACCACTTAAAAACTATCCAGTGTAACATACATGTAACTCATCACTACACTGTGTTTTTCATCCTCCACAGGTAAAAAAGTGGTTGGTCGTCGTCAGCTGCATCGCCGTCAGGCCAATGGTGGCTAAAGGGTTAACATACTACTGGATCATGTCAGATTTCATTTCCATTTTATTCATCTTTTTTTTTTAGGTCTTCAACTGTAGCAATGCAAGTAGTCAAAACAATGCTCCTTATTGTTGCCATTTGTAGAAATGTCAGAGAACAATTGAGAAAATAAAAGCAGCCAAAAAATGCATCAGTCTCTTTAAAACAGCTTCAGTAGAGGTATGGATTTAGCTGCTGGTCAGTGCTGTGGTGACACAGACTTCATTTTTTGACATGTGGGTGTACAATGTTTACTTTGTTTAGTTAGAAGCTTGTGTTCAAACATTTTTCTGGGGGCAGCTTTGTTTAAATGAATATCTATATTTTAGCGATAACTAGCATTTGCTGATAGTTTAATTGCACTTTGCATCTTTTTCCACTGCTTGTGTTACTTGAGCGTCTGGTGTACTTTTTATTCTATTCAATGTTTTTTGAGGATTATATTGTATTGAGGACTATATAAGTGTTGAATGTTGTATCAAGGTAAAAGACTAGAATATTTTCATTATTATCCGTCAAGTCAAGCCATTCTACAGCTTTTAAGACCCCTGGCAGTTATCCATTCACCCCATACAACTTTTTAAATTTATAAAGCAATGCATCATTATCGGAGGTTGTCCGGGTCAGAGTGAGGGCCATTTGTGCAGTACGGGTGGGGTGGGTGGGTTGGGCTGGGTTGACATACTTGAAAGGTTTGTTTATAAAAGAAATAAATGACATTGCTCACATGGTTGAAAGACAAGGACTGATAATCTCTTAGAAATGACTGATTGGGTTGTATATTTTTGTATAAGAGCGCACTGAAATTATATTTTCTTTTGTGTGTTGGAAAGATTAAATTATAAAATGTTCCCAGGTAATGTTTGACATCATTGAACTTACTGACATTTGATCATTATATTTGAAAGACACACAAATAAATCTATTTTTGGACTTGTGAGTTTTGATATCTGTATGACTAAACTGATCTAAAAAGGTATTTTAAGACAGTTAAAATGTCAAATAAACAGTCAATATTTTATTTACAACAAAAAATGTCCATTTGTAAAGACACTTTAAATACATTTGATCTGACATCAAAAATGCATATACTAAGAATATCCATTGTGGTAGAATGACACCGACACATTAAAATGCTGTAACTTAACAAAATAAAAAAATATTTGAAATCTATGGGGCGTATGGTGTAATTCACAAGACACAGTCTCCAATAACCCCAATAAAAATCCAGCATTCATGACAAAACACTAGTCAATACTAATGTCAGCATACAGAAATGAACATGCATTGATGAAATGCAGTGTCAAAATAAACTAATCAGGTATCTTTATCTTGAAATAGGTCTTTTTATGAACCATCAATACTCATAAAATACAGCGAAGGACGTCTCCACACACATTGAAATTCATACAGTTACAGATACAGCATTTCACCTTTCATACAACGCTGTAATGAATAAGAGGAAAAGCTCACCATAAAGAGCGATTACAGCATCAATATAATCAGGAATACGTGTTTAGAAAACTAGATGTGGTCATAAAATACAAGGGCATATTTGAAAAAAAAAAAAAAAAAGGTAAAATTATATTTTAAAAAAGCAGGCAAAAATGTTGAAAAAATTCAGTCAGTTTGGAGTTTGGATAGGCTTGGGTGACACAAGGGTGACTCGCTGTCAAGAATACATTGATAGTTTACAACTGCATATTTTTTTTTCTTTAGCTCATGTGGCAGAACAGTGCAAATCAACAGCTTTACATTCCTTTAGTAACCATTTGTGTTCATACCTCACAGCACTGCTCAATATAACCCCCAGAAGGTAAAGTGATTTCTTTAATATATATATATAAAAAAAGGATTTCATTGCTCTCCAGGAAGAAACAGGTCACCTATGTTTAACTAAAGAGGGAAATGTATGTTTGCGAGTACAGCACTGAAATGAAATGACATTCTAAAGAAATAGTTATATTTTTGTTCATTCATCTCTCTAGACTGTAAAATCCTCATGGTAAGCACCGGATTGGATTAAACTTCATATTTAGGTACAGACATGTAACGTTTCACTCATTTACAACACAAGTACATTCCTTTTCATTTTAACTCACAGCCTTATGATCCCAACATGACGCTATTTTTGGCTCTCATGGCAACAACAGACACTGCGCACGTAAGACTACACGACCATAACGAAGTCCACTGACTCATCAGTACAGCTCCCTTTGAAAACAAGATCTCAGAGTTGGCTTAATCACCAGCTCATATGAAATAACGAAAATAATCTCTCTACATTTTATGGTTACGGGTGGAAAAGATAACCAGTTATTGAAGTGCAACACATTCAGGGGGCACTGTATTTACTGCGAGCTGTAGAAAACACAGGGAAGTGCCTAAATGCAGGAAAAGGAATATATGAGGCACTGGAGATCATTCATACTGTAGCAGGCTGTGCTTACAATAATCTGATAAGCATGATTGGCCTTAGCTACCAACTGCAGACTTTTAAATTTTGAACATGCTCAAAAAAGTGCATATTATCCATTGGACAATTTCTCAACAAGCTGAGAAAAAATGATTAAGTGCGTGTGTAGGCACATCATGCTCACTTATGGTGGAATCAAAGCAGTGAAGACATATTCATGTTTATCAGTAACGGTCAGAGAAATGATATCGCTCCACCAGGAAGCGTCTGTGAGCGCAGCCGAGTTTGACGGGAGTCTGTTTTGCAGCATAGACACACGTGAGGCTATAAACCGGAGTTGTGCAGGTTTGGGATGGGGTAAAATTTGGATACTCGACTCTGGGTGGTGGGGTTAAGGCATTCAGATTCACCGCTCATCTTGAAGAAGACCTCCTGCTCCTGGAGCTTCCGTGTGAACTCCTCCTCTAACGCCTGCAGGGGGCAGCAGATACAAACGACTGAGTCAACCTCCTTGATGGTTACATGACAAAAATATCTGGGCGACAGATTGATACTGAACAGTGCAGAAACAGTTCGTAAGAGACATAAATTCCCAAATTAAGGATGTTAAATCTACCTTCTTCCTGGGTCTGAGCTTCTCTCTCCACTCCTTTATCTCTTGGCTGTGCTCCTCATCCAGCTCCTTCAGCTTTTGGGTCTCATGTTCAATCAGAAGGTGGCATTTCTCATTCTGAAAGAGGACATGGGTAAACACAGGATTAATGTCCTGGATTAATGAGTATACTGGAATATACTTATGTCTATTTATTTTAACCATTTTTTAAATCAGCATTGGATCATAAGATCAAAATTGTTTGCTCTTATTGTTTTTCTCATTATCCTTCTACAGTCACAGTCCACAACACATAAAATAATGTGTGGGTGTGTGTGTGTTGTAGCCTGACCTGTAGCTGCTGCAGCTCCCTGATGTTTGAGTCACACTGCAGCTGCAGATCTCTCATCTGGTTCTCATGTTTCTGGTGTTGATGGAGCCTCTCGTTCTTCTGCCTCTTTTCTTCCTGAGCAGCAAACTGGACCACACACGCATAATACACCAGACAACTGTTAATTGCATGTCCCTCAAACTCATAACACTTACCACAGAAAACTATTAAGTGACCTGTCTTTTTGGCAGAAAGGTTGTATTTTGAAAAGTGTTCTGCTCATACTATGAGCAGTGTAAGCACATACAGTGGAATGATAGACAGGCAATTATGCGGAAGGACAAGTGAGAGACTGTAGTGAAACACTGACTGTAAACACAAAAATCTTTTCAGTTTCTCAGTTTTGTATTTACACTTCAGAGTGTCAGGCAATGCCCTATTCTCATCAACTACTCCTTACTGCCTATCACGATTGTGTGCTGGTTTTATCTGAACAAAACTAAACTGAAACAACATTTTGAGGATGACGGGGCTGGGGAAACTTGTGAAATGGTGACTGGAAAGTTACCGGTATGACATCCAGAGTACTGTTTGTATAAGGCAGATCCTGGGTGTGACTGTATGCCAGAGTGACATAGTGTTGCTAAAAGTAGACCATGCATATTCAGTCACTACTCCTTCAATGTGCCAATTACAAATTGTAAAACAGCAGCAGCAGGAGTCCACACTCAGTGTCTGTACCTGTTTTATCCGTTCTCTCTCCTGCTCTGGGGTGACAGTGGCAGTGGCGGTGATGCGGAGGCTCTTCTTGAACATGGCCATGCGGGTCTTTGCCTCGCTGCGCTGGATCTTGGGCAGACGAACCCTCTCTTGAGTCTGTTTGTTCTTCATCTCCTCTATCAGCCGCTGGTTGTAGCGCTGCATCTGCTCCATCTCCTATAAAATACACACATGCATACAGTTTTGAGTTCAGCAGGGTCGTTTTAAACAACATGATACATTTCTCCGTGCAAATCTCTCTCTCCGGGCTCATACTTTCTCATGCCTCTTCAGCAGCTGGTGTCTTTGCAGGAAGTATTGATCTTTCAGCTGCTGCTTCAGCTGCTGGTGCTTCTCCTGCAGGTGGCGCTCCTCCAGCTCCCACATGGCTGCCTCTCGAGCTACAAAACACATATGTCGAGACCCACAAGAACATCACTCGAGGTTATATAAGTGTGAGTTATCAGACAAGTGCATGCATGTTAGCTGGTGACAACATAAAGAGACTGTCAGCAAGTTAGACAAGCTGTAACATGTCCTCTCAAACAGTGCGTCCTTATTCTCATCTGTTTGTCAAAGTCAGTATTTACACACTGTTGGCGAGAAAAGGTGTCACTGACTTACACCCCTTTACTAGTTGAGAGTGAATCAAAAGTTTTAAAAAAAGACAATTTTTTTTCTACCTTTCAGGCTGCAGTTGGTTTCATGGTTCTTTGTTATGAAAATAGACTTTGAGAGACTTGAAACTTACAAAAGATGCTTGAGATGAGTTGGCTGCTTGGGAGGTAAACCATCACACCAAGTTGACTTTTTTCTTGTCAAATTCAATGATAACAACTCAGTCTAAGCTTGGATTGGTAAGAAAAATCTGCTGATTTGGTTCATTCAGCTGAGGAAATCAGAACCACAAGCGTCACCATGTTTCTCACCAGCACATGAAAGCAGCCTCAATTCAACTCGAGTAAGTTTCAGTCTTCAATCTGACTTTCATATCATGCTAAAATTAATAGGTTGTAGTTTAGGCAATAAATTAAAAAAAAGAATGCTTTTCAAAAAATGGTAGAGTAGTAAAGTAGTAAAATAGTTCTTTCACCAGCTCCCACCTCTCATGAGCTGCTGCTTGTGGTTGAGGCAGTCTCTCTCAATAGTGGCGATCTCCAGTTTATGCTGCTGGATGATTTTCTTTAGAGCTCCGTCCAGGTCTTGCTGCTGCTTCTGTAGGAACTCCTGCTCCTGAGGAGCCAGAGAGAAGGAGAGCAGTGAGGAACAGCCAGGGGAAGTCGTGGGGATGACACAGAGGGACAGCCAAGAGAAGAGAGAGGAAGCAGAATAAAATGTCACAATGCCTAGTCAAGTCATCCACTTCAAGTTCAGCACAACACAGAGCACTAAGATGTTACATCATCAACTGGAATCAGTAAAGGAGACACTCAGAGATCATGGATGGCAACGATCCACAATGGAGGTGAAGAGAGAAAGAAAGAAAAGTTAACAGTTCAGTAGAGATCAGATTTACAGTTTTATGTAAGACAACATCTATAGTGACATTCACAT